ATCTTCAAAGCGAACGAATTGATTTCCATCAATACAAGTGTTTTCTATTAAGATAGAAGTAACCAACCGAGATTGAACCGGACCAACTAGTAACCTCTTGATCTGCAGTTCCATGATAAAATTTGTGACATACGTATGTATGACATTTTAGATCATATGTATTAACAGAGTATGTAGATTCACTCAGTAGTGTGTCCTCTGCTGTTTTTGAAGGAAGAGCAATGGGATAATTTTGAAGATTTGGCCTTCATTCTTTGAACTAAAAACATAAAATACTATGTTTTACGTTATATACACTGATCAAACTTAGATGGTGTTTTTGAATTAGTTTAGAATAAATGGATTGTGGTCTCCAGGGATGTAATCCTTCTATATTTGGTGGTTACATATTAATTTTCAGCTTCATAGACAGTTTTTTGTGCTTTACTCATATAAGGTGTTCTGCAGCATGCAGCTTATCCAGATTTGGACAGCTCCACGTCTCTCTTTGGTGTTTATGATGGCCATGGAGGTGAGAGCGCGGGTCATTGAGTTAGTTCTGATTTGTTGTATTGTCCTTGTTGTATAATACGTGATGTTCTCCATCTGTATGGGGCTTTGACTCGATTCCCTCATTGTTTGTTCTTGGTATATTTTGGTGCTCACTAATCACCTTCCCTGATAGTCTTTACTTTTTTCAATAATTACTTTCTTGCGCTTTCTTCACATGATCTATTGCTTAAAGTCCACTTTTTAGTCATTATTGGTCCTGAAATGGATCTTTCATCAATAAACTACTTGTTCCGTTCCTTTTCTGACGAAGGCAGAGAGTTTGATGATTACCCATAGTTTCTTGTAACCTTTTTCCCTCCTCCTCCTCCTGCTAAAGACCTTGGCCTTTTTCTCACAATTTGAAGAAGTCACCTATTTGTCTGGCTTGCTTTTGGCTTAGTATCGAAGTGTGGTAAAGCAGTTAGCTTCATCTGCTACCCTTCGTGATTTCTTGCACATCCCCTTCCTTAATTGGATCAAATATCAGGACTCTAAAGTAGGGGTGGCAACTCCTAACATAATATGAAAACACAACTCAAAATTAGTGGATTAAGGTCTATGAAGCACGGATACGGATACGGATACGGATACGATACGATATGGATGGGGCGATATGGCAATACCTAAAAAAATTAGATACGAGTACGGATAGGATACGTCCATAAAATATATTTTTTTAAAAATTTTATTATTATATTTAATGTAATAATTATGATTTATAAAGTGAATCACACATCTATCAAAGATATATAATAATCATACATTCATAAATTTTTTTTATTTTTTTTTTACAAATAAGGGTCCAAACATATTTGCCCTAGTGTCCCTATTCTTTTTAAAAAATTCAAGTAATATTCTGGCGTATCTTAAAGTATCCGAAATTTAAATTTATTTTTTTTAATTTTAGGATACTTCCCAACCTTATGTGTCCGATCATATCGAACGCGTATCCATATCCGAGAAATATCCGATACTGATATTTTGACATTTTTCAAGTATTCGTACTTCATAGGTTAAGGTTGATCATTTATCAACACGAACCCATAAATGACACAATCCGTTAACACGAATAATAAATGGATTGGGTTAATGTCAAACACGAACAACACGAAATTGACACATTTAGCTAATATTATAGAAATAAAATGCTAATTATTTGTTATTGTTTATTAAGTATTGACATAATTATCGTACAAAAAAGACATTTTTACTCATTATTATTGTTCTGTTTATTAAGTTAATTTTAAATTTATAGAAAAAGTTGAGCATAGATTCAATTAAATTGATAATAGAACTTTAAACTTAAATCTTAACGTTAAGTTCTTTATTCGAAGTTTATATGGGTCAACGCGAATTCGACACAAAAATAAACAGTTCAGTCGGTATGATACAACCCGATTAGTTAAATAGGTTAGATTAAGGTTGATTAGTGTTCGACACGAATCCGCCATGACACGACATGATTGTCACCTTTAATGATCATCCAATTATTATCATAGTCATGATTCTATCATCAATGAAGCTTTTTTCTTTCCTTGGTGTAGTTTTATTTTCTACCTATAGATTGTTACCAATAGGAACTCAGTTAGACTTTATTGTGTGTTATTTTTTTTTTTGCTTTTCCTTTTGAAGTGTTTTAGGTTCCCTATCAATATCGCAACTTTCACATAGTTTTGGAAATTACCCGACCACAATAGGTCAATATGCCCGTGCCATGTGATTTCCATTGAGGATAGAACCAGAAATAATAAGTTTCTTCAATATGCATTTGGAACATGGATGGGTAGATCAGTAAGTCCTACTAAAAAAAAACTAAGGATCCAATGATCCAACAATCTATTTATTTTGGTAAGCAAAATTTGGCAAAAAACTTTGGTATATGATTGGCATTATTCTTTCACTAAACATCTCTGTATGCAACTGCCCGTATCAACTAACATTGTCCACACATCATGGTCTATGTACAATTGAGAAAAATACAATGGATATAATTGTCCCTACATCCTTCCTCAATTGAGTATAGGCCTAGACACTTGACATTATATAGTAGCATTAGAGCTTGATGTAAGGTTACTTTTGTATTCAGTTGCTTTAGTATGAGGAACTCATGAGTTTTGTTTGTATTTGTGGTGTGTGAACAAATTTTTCCTTCTCAAACTAGACGTTAAGGGACTTGAATAAGTAAATGATGATAAACTGTATGTAAATGATGGTATAAGTGATGATAAGTGTAGTAATGAAGCACGGATATCATATCAGATATGATACTTCGTCCAGACCGATTTACGTGTATCATATATCATATCAGATATGATACTTGAGAATACATATCAGATACGCATCGTATATATTTGATAATTAATAAAATATGTGGATACTTCGCGAATACTTTCACATGGAGTAAGATGTACAATTTTTAATTTTAATTTATGACATTTCCTTTTGAATTTACATACAATACAAAACATCAGTAAAATTCTATTTGACTTTGAAAACGCGCGTGTTTTTTAAGTATTATCAACTATTGCATGTCAAAAGAGTATAAAAAAATGAGTTAATTACACTATAACTTTTAAAACAAATACTTATAAACAAACCAACTAGTTAAATGTTGGTTTTAATTCTTTTAATTGATCATGTTCACTTTATGGATATATCATAATAAGGCAATATTATATCTTTTTTGAGTTAAAAATTGCTAATTTTGTTTACTTGTGTTAAAGAATTACTAAAAATTTTAATTTTTAAGTTGTTCAATAATGGTAAAATATATAATAAATTTTATTATAAAAGTATCATGGCCGTACCTTATCCTCTTTTTTTAGGTTTTGTCGTATCGTCGTATTCGTATCATATCGCATCATACCCCTATCCCGTATCTGTATCCATGCATCCTATGTGTAGTTACTACTTTCATTTAATTTAAGATTCTGAAGATTCATTATTGGTCTTTTCTTGCCCATTTACATACTTGCTTTGATTGAATGCCGCCAATTGGTATTGGTGGAGTAGGATTAATTTCTCCTCTCTTTTGCTTTTCATTTTTTTTGTTTGTTTTTGAAGTTTAACCAGGGTGCCCAGATTAACATGTTCCTTTCATTTTCTTCACACCACATCTTCTTCTCATTTGAAAATTATTCCATTTGCAGGTAAAGCCGTTGCAAAGTTCTGTGCCAAGTATCTTCACCAACAGGTGCTCAAGCATGAAGCCTACTCAGCTGGAGACTTAGGCACGTCTCTTCAGAAAACATTTCTCAGGTTACTTTGATCCTTTTATTTTCTGTTGTTCTTTTAACATGTTCTGCGGGTGCCACGATGTAATCCTAACCCAAGTCTGCACAAGACAGCAAGGAAATTATCATTCACCAGTAAGTCAAATATTCTCATCAGCACAGGATTTTGAACGAGGCTGGGTTTTCTCACTGGCCAGTATAGCCTCTGATACTTTGTGACATTTCCACATATTGTATTGGTATTTAAACTTTATACTTGTCTGAATGGTCATTATTACGATATTTTGGGGCTGCTGTAGGTTATTTCACTCGTGAATGGTTCTTTTGGGCAAGAAATTTGCATGTTTTGTTTCGTTTGTAAGATGAATATGACTAGATATACCATAGTGGGAAAAGAAAATTTTGAGAAGAGAAATGTCATGATAATTGCCATTAGTGCAATGTAAACACATTAGATTTTGGAGACAATCTAGCTTCCTTAAGATCTTGTTCATTTTTCATTCATCACACCATTAATTGCAAATAGTTCTAACTAGAATGGAATTTGCAGATACGTTCAACGGTGAATTAATTTCCCAGATGCCAAATAACTAATTTTCTTATTTGTATTCCTTGATGTAGAATGGATGAGATGATGTGTGGACAAAGAGGTTGGAGAGAGTTAGCTATACTGGGGGATAAAATAGACAAATTTTCTGGCATGATTGAGGGGTTGATATGGTCTCCAAAGAGTGGTCCAGTCAATGGCCTCACTGGGGATTGGCCTTCTGAAGAGGTGTGTAATTGACGGTTACGCAATTATATGTTTGTGTAGAATGGTAATGTTTCATCCTTTTAGCTAGAAGCTAGACTCAATTTCTAATACTTGGTGGCATGACGTGTCTTGGCCTAAATCTGAGGATCTTTGCCTTGTTATTTTTCCTTCATGTTGCTGTACAACCCATAAGTTTGATGTCTTTATAAGTTCTCGTTTGAGATACGATCTACACATATAATATTAACTTCAAAAGTGTTTCCAGTCTGGTGTCCTTAAGTCGATCTCAATATCCAATTAGTATTGCTCTATTGTGAAGGGCTCGGTTTTTTTTTCCCACTGCATTTTTTCTGTAAAATTTTGCAATTAAGGCTCATCAAATGTTTTCATGAACTAGGGACCTCACTCTGATTACCATGGACCAACTTCTGGAAGCACAGCATGTGTTGCAATTATTAGAAACAACCAACTTGTTGTGGCAAATGCTGGTGATTCTCGCTGTGTAATATCTCATAAGGGCCAGGTAATTTTTCCTCGCCCGTCAGGTGCTGTCAAAGTTCTAAGCCAATATTATATTATTTGAGCATTTTACAATATAAATTACACATTTTGGAAAAGATAATTAGCATAAGAAAAAAAAAATTGTACCGCACTCAATATGAATAGAAATTCATTAAACTGCAGTTTGTGGGGATGTTTTTAGCAGTTGTAAAGAGAAGGAAAAATCAGTTTTTGTTTAAGAGACTACAATTTCACCCCTGGGTTTCGGAGGGCAGTAAGATAACTATATTCTTTTCTACTTCTGTGCCATTTCATAGAACTCATAACTATCGTGAATACGTAGAAAGAAATAATGATGGGGATAACAATCTTGTTACAAAAAAATTGGTGGCAGCCCAGCAAGATAATGCCTCATAAATATGACAATCAGCATATGCGGATCCCATACTGTGAAGTTAAATGTGCCTGTATTTAATTGGAGTGCTACTGTGCTTCCTGTTTTTTTTTGGTAATGAGATAGTTGCCCATTAGTGCTCTATGCAGGACTGTACTAAGTGCAAATCTTTTATGCAGGCGTATAATTTGTCTGAAGACCACAAACCTCATCTTGAGGCTGAGAAAGAAAGGATATTAAAAGCTGGTGGTTATGTTCAATGTGGACGGGTCAATGGGAGTTTAAACCTGGCAAGAGCTATTGGTACTTCACATCTGCTTTATATATTTCTTGAACATTCCTTTCCTTTCCTACTTTTTGTTAAATTGTAACTTTTTTTTGGGTAAATTGTTTTATTGTAACTTGATTTAATGGTTTCAGGAGACATGGAGTTAAAGCAGAATAAATCACTGCCTGCTGAAAAGCAAATAGTAACTGCCAATCCTGATATAAACACTGTATGTAGCATCTATATTCTCTATTTTTCCATTGACCCTTTTTATTTCATGCATAGCAATATGGATGTTTTTAGTTTCTCTGATTATTTTCGATAGTGTGAGATATTTGTTTAATATCCTCTAGTGAAAGTACAAATTTGGCCCCAGCCTTGATCAATGATTATTCATTCTTTTCCTTGTCTTGGAACTAGGTTGAGCTTTGCGATGACGATGATTTTCTCATTCTAGCTNTACCGTGGTTAAAGATTTGGCTAGTTGATTGTCAATTGACTAGCCAATTTGGACAGGTCAAAAAAAAAAAATCCAAATTCTAAATTGTTTTCACTAAAATTAGAATTGAAGGATTTTGACCAGAAAAATAACTGATCTTCTCTCATCCCAAAATACCCAGCACCACCTCTCGAACCATTTTTCCCACTAGAATTAATCACCAACCACTGGAACCAACCCTCCATCACAAACCCACCAAATCCAACGCTACCTTTAAACCCACCAAATGCAACAATCAAAGCTTAATTCGAGTGAGTGTGCGTGAACCGGGAACCAGGGAGAGTGACGGCATCGAAACGTTGAGATAGTTTGACTTTTAAGTTTTGAATTTGACCAAAGTGAAAAAGAGGAAGATTATGATGTCAAATTTACTACCGAAATTTATAAGTTATAATTGTAAAAGTTAATATCAATTTTATGATTGATTATAAAAATTATAAATTTTATTGTGTATTCATGATTGATAATAAAATTTTATAATCATGAATTATTTTAATTAATTATAATTTTACTTTTAAAAGTTTAATTTTACCATTAAATTTTTAGTATGATGCCCAAATTTTATTTATTTATTTATTTATTTATTTGAATATAATGGTCCTACGGTGTTTTATTCACTACTGTTGCCTAACTGACAAGGACAGGCTGGAACTTTTCAGACCTTAATGATCATAATGTGACAAGTGTAGATCTTTAGAATAATTTAGATGATTTATCTTTAAAATATCAATAGTCACATCTTGATGGCAACATTTTCTTTATATAATATAATTTTGCTTATTTTATATTAACAGTGGGGCTTTGATCCCTTCCTTCCTGTAGTCTGCATGAAAGTGATGCTCAAAGTGTTTCTTCAAAATATATCGACTAGTCCCTCCTTAGTTAATCTCAAAGTTCAAAACACTGCCTTCAAACTGTTCCTTCATAATCATGCTTGTATTATGTCATTTTTAATTTATATCAATTTTTTTTTTATTATAAGGTGTTCAGGCATGTGTCGATTATTTTCTCGAACTCATATATTGGTCAACGTAACTCAAGCAGGTTTAGAACATGTCTTAAGAAAAATAAGGATGACTGACCCTTAGGAGTATGAAAAGTGTTGAACTCGATGTTATCAAAATTGGATCAGACATCGAATCGATAGAGGGATCGAGTTAATAGTTCATTAGTTCAACCGTTGAGTTAACTGGTTGGACCGGTCATGTAATTAAAAAATTATAAATATAATAATTTAGATAAAAAAAAATTATAAAACATGTCCCAATGCATACAATTTATGATAAACTTAATAAAGTTTAGGGAAATCTTGTTTTAACTTTGATTAACTAGTTTCAGTTCACTTAATGCTTGACATAAAAAAAATAAAAAGTCAATAAAATTAACAAAAAAAAAAAATCAACAATACACAAAGACCAAAACCTGAGTTCGACAACACTTACAGAAAGTGGTTTAACCAAGAATGCAAGAAGTTTAAGCGGTTGTGTGTGTGTGTGTGTGTGTGTGTGAGAGAGAGAGAGAGAGAGAGAGAGAGAGAGAACCAAGATTTGCTCATGGACCAGAGAGAGACTGGAGGAAAAAGGAGGAGGAGCAGAGGGAGATCGACTGGACCAAACCATTCACCAGATCTGTAGATCCACGACATTTTCTTCTATCTTTGCGCCTAGAGGAGAAGACCTGAGAAGTGGAGAGGCGACAACAATCGAATGAATTTTGGGTAAAAAAAATAGGAAATTGACTAACCGGACTGTTTTAGATTGCAGTTCACGGTTTAACCGATTCAACCGGTCAATCTGATTCGATTCTAAAAACACTAGTTGAACCTGAACTTTTGAATTCAACCGCTAATCTATCCCTAAGAATTGTCAAATACCATTTAAACAATATTTGATCGATCTATTTAACAACAGTATGATTTTTTGATTGACACACAAATCAATAAAAAAAATTAAAAAATTGGACTCATTTCTCCTTAACTAATCACCAATAGGCTATTAAATTAATAATCCACCCCGATCAGTGTTTACAAATCAAGCGAATGATCCTCTAACTTTTTTAAAAACATCAATTTTTCCCTTTATATTATATTAGCTAAAATGTTTGTCGTATCAAATCGAGTAAATTGTATTTGACACTAACTTAACTCATTTATCAACAAGTCGTGTTATTTTTAATTTCACATGAAAAATTATAATTTAAATCTATTTATTTTGTGTCTAGATTACATTGTGTTAACCTATCGGGATAAAAATCCTCATCACCACAAAGAGTGGGCGGGGAATGTTAAAGTTCAAACTGGGGATGGATCGAAACTTATCTCTGCGCTGCTTCTGTACAACCCTGCACCCACTAAACTGGTGAGATATATATATATATATATATATATAAAAAACAAATAAAACAATTAAATGAAAAAGCACATAACTATAGCTTCTAGATCGGTGGTTATCTCGTCAACAGTGACGCTAATAATTTCTATAATTTAAAGTCATTTCTTCACTTAGTTTTTCATATTCTCTTTCCTTTTTTTTTCAGTTTCGTCTTTATCCTATTTTTTAGTAAAACAATTGACAAAATTTGATACAATAATTAAATCTCGTAAGGCCAACACAGAGCAGATTTAATTAGAGAATCATGACATATAGAAGTCTTCAAACTAACACTCTGGAACTTGAAGCTGATAGTGAGTCTGCGTTACCCAAGTACGCACTCAATGAGAGAAAGATTTAATCAATGGTACCTCACAAGATTTGATCCATTTGTTATATAATGAGTTTTCATCATTTTTTGCAGATTCATTTGTGAGGTTTTATAAATTTTTTTAACTTTTTTAAAATCATGAAAATTAATTATTATGGACGGGAACGGAAATTATAATTTTCCTCGTTAACGGGAATGAACGAATATTTTTGAAACGGGTACAAGATTGAGACTACTCGCCCACTCCTGCCTCTGTCCACTGTCATCTCTAATTCAAACCTACGTATTATATTATCTCATGTGATGCGGGATTTTTTTGTTTTTTTTTTTTTGGGGGGGGGGGGGGGGGGGGGGGGGAGTATGCATATAATTGTTATTTTGTCTTTGAAGTTTTTAATTGATACAATTACATTCTTAAAATTTAAACTGAGTTTCATTCCGGTCTTCATATTCAGATCTACTATTTTATTCCCACGGAAATAAGTCAGAAGACTTGCCCATAAGGGTATCTTTGTCCAATAAAAACATATCTCTCAAATACATTAATATTTCTCTATTTATCTCATAATATCTCTCAAATTCTTACTCTATATTTTGGTTATGTCATTTTTTTTCTTCTTACCATTAGATGAAATAAAGTAAAATTTTCTAGTTTAGACGTAAAATATTTTTTTCCAAACAAATATACCTTTTACTCAAATCATGGGTGGGTCATGAAAGACCATTTTGTCATAATAAATTAATAAATTTTGATATAAAGATTAAATTAATATTTAATTAAAACTCTAAAAAAAAATTTTATTATTGAAATTTTAAAATTAAATAGAGATGTAAATTATAATTTTTCCAAACTAAATAGTTTTTTTTTTTTGTTCAACAATTAGGGGCTTTCAACTTACGCACTTCGACCATTCTCCTTCCTGATTCAGTCAAAGATAGGTCTTCCACGTCCAAACTAAGAAATTCATGAGAAATAAATTTTTCATAACTTGACCTCAAAAAATTAACGAGATTCAAATTTAAAATTTTTGGATATATGTCAAACAACTTAGATGTTTGCATAGGAGGTGCTTCAAATAATGTTATGGTATTTGGGAATTAGTGTTAGATGCGACCTAAAGAATTTAGTACGTATAAGCCCAATTAAATAGTAAAAATTGTCAAATGGTACACTTTTTAGAAATTATTTGTTTTAAAATACACAGTTTGGGCTTTTCCCTCATTAAGTCTTCAATTAAATATATATCATAAAAAGTTTAAACCAAAACAAAAAAGGCTCTTCTCCTTTTAATAAATATTTTATTACTTTTAGCCTTTAGGAAACTATTTTTAAGAGTACAACTTTGCCAAATTAGACAAGTTGAGAGATCAATTATAACATAACTTTAAGTATAAAATATATAATCTTAAATCGTCCTCAATATTAAAGATCTCAATTCGAATATTATTCAAATTTAATTTAAATTAAAAATTTTTTGTCCAAATCCGACTTAAATTCTAAAACTCATCGACCCAAATTTTAATTTTTTCGAATTANTTCAAATTTAATTTAAATTAAAATTTTTTTGTCCAAATCCGACTTAAATTCTAAAACTCATCGACCCAAATTTTAATTTTTTCGAATTAAACTCGGTTAATCCACCCAAATTTCACCCCCCAAACTCTTTCAATAGCCGTCTCAAAAGTCAACCATACATTCACAGTCTCTTTCTCTCTTTATTTTTTGCCGATGAACACAATTAATGCATTACGTCTCCAATGCAATAATTGTGTCGCACTCTCTTTCTGTCTCCCCCTATCTATTAAAAAAATCGTAGCCCACCATCTCTCTCCAGATGTATTTAGAGAAATCTCAAAAGAAGTTTTAGAAATAGTTTGGAACACTCTAATAAAAATATTAAATTATATTAAAAAATTAGATTTTTCTTAAATGTGTATATTACTTATAAAATAGTATTCATAATATTCATAACAATTATTTATATTGAAAAAAAAAATTAAAATTAACTTATTTACGATCAACTATATCACAAANATATTCATAACAATTATTTATATTGAAAAAAAAAATTAAAATTAACTTATTTACGATCAACTATATCACAAAAACAATCGAATGAATTAGTCTTATTTTTCATTGAAAATGATATATTAATGAAACTTGAATGTAAAAATTTAATCATTAAATTTATAAAAAAAAAATGACTTTTAAGTAGAATATTAATCATATAACATATTTATTTATAATAAATTTTAAAAGTCCCCGACTCCATTTACAGTAAGCCGCCCTCCAAAAAACATATATAGTTGAAAGAAGAAGCATATGCCTCAAAATATTCTTCAATAATAATTATGTCTGAATATAAACAAACATAAAACAATGGGTCGGCTAAGAACTTTCTCTCTCTATCTCTCATATGTCCACGCCACAAAAACTTGACAGACACGTCGTCGCTGAAAAAGGACCACCGCGGAAAAGGACCCTCCGCCTCCATCCCCAGTTCTCCATCCTACCTAACCTGGACACGACACCATTCCCTTCTATTTTTATCTGCAGAGCCCCCTCCAATCCCATTATCTAAGAACTTGTTCTGTATGACTCTATCAATCCGTCCATTATTGTGTTCCAAGAACCTTTCACCTCTTTCGCTATTTAATTGACTTTTCTTTCAGATCACCATTGTTAAAAAAACCACAGAAATTCCACTCTTTTGTTGTACCCATTTCGTTTAATATACCATTCTTATCTTTACTCTTTGACTGCTCCTTTATATCGTTTATTCTGATTCCACATTACCCATATTTATATAAAGGGTGACATTAGCCGTATTTGTGTTATAGATTCACTTTGCGTTCTGGGTAAAATTGAAAAAACTGTTTTTGAGCTGAGAGAAGATATATAGAATGACGACTGCTTTTGGAATGATTGGTGGTGTTGGTGGGTGTGGCTCGCCGCCTTCTTCTTCTTGGATTCGATTTAAGAGTTTGAAGAAAAACAAAAAGGTTCTGATGAATGATGGGTTCAGGGTTTACTGTGTTTCTTCTTCGACTGCTTCCGATCCATACAGAACTCTTCGGATTCAGCCTGGTGCTTCTGAATCTGAGGTTAAGAAAGCTTTCAGACAGCTTGCTTTGCAGGTATTAGTTCTTTGCTGCATTTGATGTTAAATAGGCCAATAAAAAAACTCTTCTTTTATAAAATTGTTTTCCGAGATTTATCAATTACTTCTCATTTTCTGAATTTTAGTAGAATTTGGTGCTATTTTCGAGTTATCTTTGGTTGGTTATATTATTATGCTTTGTGATTGAATACTCTTGTGTTTGATCTAATTTCAGTATCATCCGGACGTCTGCAGAGGAAGCAATTGTGGAGTTCAGTTTCACCAAATTAACGAAGCTTATGATGTATGTTCTCCTACCCCCCCCCCCCACCCCCCACAACTCTCTCTCTCTCTCTCTCTCTCTACTCGTGTGTTGGTGATTATAGAATGAGTTGGTGATGGTTTCATGTGATCATGACCCAAAAGGAAAGGAGATAAGGAGCCACTCACTATATGGAAGCAATTTAGAAATTTAGTCTCATCTCGTTATGTAAATTTGGCAGTGAGGATTTGGGAAGTCTTCTCTCTCTTAATTATTAAATTTCGGAATTATTAAAATAAAACCATTAATTTTCTTCAAATTTTTTTCCATTAATGTTTCAATCTTTGAAAACCTCTTTGTTTTTTTATAGGGGAAATGTAACTAATATACTGTAAGCAAAACATTTAACTTAAAAAAGAATCTAATTTTAATATCTAATATCTAAAAATATGATATAATACTTTGACCTAATGATGTAGCATGTATTATTAGGTTTGATAATTATAGAAATATTATTAGGTTATGTCAATTGTCAACTAGTTTGATCACATTATTAGATCAGATTTTTAGGTTTTAATAGTATTGCTCTTTGAAAAAATAGAGTACAATGATAATGTCTCGATTTTGTGAGATCAAATGTGTCTATTAATTGATCATTTGGACTTGATCTTATATTTTTTTCCCCCCTAAACATANTTGTGAGATCAAATGTGTCTATTAATTGATCATTTGGACTTGATCTTATATTTTTTTTCCCCCTAAACATCGGCTTCTATAAAACTATATCTATTGAACTTAGACTCATACTAACATGAACCTACATAACAAAATTAGTGTCTTGTTTTTACTTTGCAAAAAAAATTTGGGCCTTTATGTTTTCATGGGGCCTAAAGCCAAACCTTTGATGGCCTTAAGCTCTAACTGGCCATGAGAGAGAGAGAGAGAGGGGGGGGGGGAGAGAGAGAGGATGTGGTGGTGTAAATTCGTGAATTGCATGGACCTGCTAGAGAGGGAGAGAGTGTGTGCGCGCGCACACGCATCTGTATACTGGAATCTATCAATCTATTTGGATTGTTAACTTGGTCATAAATGATATTGATGAGGTGAAGGGTTTTTTTCACCTCCTTGATGAGTGGTATGACTTGGTATGTTATCTTGTATGTTTGGATTAGTGCATGAATACAGCCATTTTGAGACATAGTTGCATAATTAATATTGTGGTGCAGCAATTGAATTGTCGAGAATAAAACTGTCTGAAAAATGGGCTATACCTAGATTACAAGTCTCTGGTCTATAGTAAGATTTGTAAGAGTAAAGTGTAGGCAATCTTAATCTTATCCACATTTTTGAGAGATCAATTCCCGGACTCTAGCACATGGCATGACGCTGTGTGGTTTGAGTCCAATCTCTAATAAAACCCTGTGTGGTTTGAGTCCAATCTCTAATAAAACCCTTTAGTGGTCAGAATTAGTACACAAGCTATGTTTACCCAATGCCTAACGGAGTAGTTTTAAATTTCTTTTCAAGTATGTGTGGCCTTAATTCCATAGTTTGTGTTTCTCTGAGCTAATACTTAGTTTTTATGGTGATATGTTGTAGGTTGTGATGAGTAATTTGAGAGGAGAATCAACCACATCACATATGGGGATGTACGAATCGTATGATTCCGGAGCAGATGAAACCATGAGAGGGACGAACGAGCCTGATTGGGACCTTTGGGAAGAATGGATGGGATGGGAAGGAGCAGGAATTCGTGACTACTCATCTCACATTAATCCTTACATTTGAATACTAATATGTTTTAGTGTTTGATTTCAACCCACATCTCCAATGAAAGATGGTTGGTGTTGGTGTTGGTGTTGGTGTTGGTGTCGGTGTCGGTGTATATAATGAAATGAAGTGGAAATCAGATTGTTGGTTTCTTGTACATATTCTAAGATACGAATATGGGACTATGACCTGGGATTTACCCATTGTACTTACACAAATATTATATGAAAAGCAAACCAAAAAAAAAAAAAAGGTTATTTCTTCAAGCAACTATTAGCATTGTGGTGAATCTTGTTCCTAGTAACTAGTTTTGCAAGTTCTTGGATGCAAAGGATTGTTATTGCACTTGTTTTGATTGCTTCTGATAACTTAGAGTTTAAAATGAATCGAGGGGTTGATGAAAATTTTGGATTGGTTTGGATAAAAGTTCGCTTAAAAATGTTCATTTATCAAATGAAGTGAGTTCGACTTTAATAAATGAGTCGAGCATCAACATCGACAACGACTTGTTTTGCTTGTGGACATATATTTTAATGTGGTACGTGTATAAACGAGTTAAAGTTGATTATGAACACAACAACAATATCTAATTCACTGAATATTTTCAGCCTAGTCAAACCCAAATAATTTGGTATTCGTCATATTTCGGTTCATTTATAACAAAAATTTGTCCCTTTGACCCAATTTTCCTCAAATTTGGCTTGCCAGGGAACCATTTGGGATGTTGTGATTGCAATGTGCAAATTTAGTTATCTGAACACCTAAACAGGGAGGGAGAAACACAATTTTTTTGGGTTAGAAATTCGGGTCAGCAATTATTCGGGTTTGAACAGCATAATAAATTTCTGCAATTTTGTAATCACCGGTCAAGAACTCAGCTGAACGATTGCTCTGAGGCCTTAACTGCAACACCGTCATTTCCCAAAACATAAGCGAACGCNTCTGCAATATTGTAATCACCGGTCAAGAACTCAGCTGAACGATTGCTCTGAGGCCGTAACGTTTAACTGCAACACCGTCATTTCCCAAAACATAAGCCAACGCCTCTCTCTCTCTCTCTCTCTCTCTCTCTCTCCTCCCACCCACTCTGTCTTCGCGGTGAAGTTCCAGGTACTGTGATTGAATTCCCAGTCCAAGATTCATATTTTCTTCAGTCTATGTAGATATATACATATATCCTCAGTCAGAGATCCTTATTTAATTTACAGATTCTGCCGTCATCCCAAAGGTTAAGCAACGTTCGCAATTCAACTTCGATTGAGCGAAACCCTAACTTCTGCCTTGGCGGTGAGTCTAAAGTTATATTTGATTCCGTGTACATGAATGAAGCTCCCCTTACCCGAGAATTCATAATTTTTGTATTATTTGTGCGCAATTGATAAGTACAGTGTACTGGGATTAGATTACAAAATTTTCATTGCTGGTGTTCAGAAAAGCACCTTGAATTTTAGAATTCTTAACTCGATTGAACTTGTTTATGTTGATAAATCCTAAGCATTAAAATAAAATAAAAAAATTGCAGGATCCTCCAATTCCAACGAAATCAGAGAGTAGTCTAACTGTATATACTGCTTCCTGGTTTCAGTTCTTGTATATATGGGGCTTTATAAATGTATTCAACTCAATAAAACCTTGTTTTCCCAATATTGTGTCGGTTCTATTAAGACTTCTGTTATGGGGTTTTATAAATGCTCTATTTTATGGGGGCTTTATGGGCGTAACATGATTTATCATTATAGGTATCACAACATTACTTTTACTAACAGCAGCAACAAGAAGTTTTATTTTTTTTTTTGAGAAAATGAATGAAAAAACTGTGTAGCAACAATAAAACAAGTGATCCTTCTGGGGAAAATAGCTACAATTAGTGGGAGTGTAATGCTTTGTTTATGATAAGGTTGCAGATGGGTATTTTTCTAGTTACTTTGACTAAATCACCTCTCTCTCTCCTTCTCCTCCCCCCTTTTCTCTTTTCTCTTGGTTGATGGTTTGGTACCAGTAATGGAACTGGAATGTAGCCTGTCTTTGTGAGTACCTAGATGAAATTTTGAAATATTTATGATGGTAGTACATACCTAGTTAGGCTAAAATTGCCAACTTGAACCTTTGAGGTGGCCTAGTGGTTTATTTGCATTAACATGTTATACCAGGGTGCATGGATGAAGGTTAATTTTGCCAGATTTACTATGAAGAAGCCATGTACTGTTTTTTTTAACACTTCTGGTAAATTGTAGCTTCCGATTTCTTGCAGCACCCCAAAGTTCTCTTTTGATGGCAGACCTCAAAGAACGCCTGCTGCCTCCAAAACCTGCATCAGCTGTGAATCTCAGAGATCCATCTTACAGGCCGTCTGCATCTGGGCGTCAACCTTTCCAAGGTGTGGATGTTCTAGGCTTGAAAAAGCGTGGTCAAGGCCTTCGATCATGGATTCGGGTTGATACTTTTGGTAACTCCCAAGTCATTGAGGTTGACAAATTTACTATGATGCGTCGTTGTGATCTTCCTGCCCGTGATCTACGCCTACTCGATCCATTGTTTGTTTACCCCTCAACAATCCTTGGCAGAGAGAAGGCCATAGTTGTAAATCTGGAGCAGATTCGATGTATTATTACGGCTGATGAGGTTCTGCTTTTGAATTCTCTCGATAGTTACGTATTGCAGTATGTAGTGGAGCTACAACGGAGACTGACAACTGCTGGAGTGGGTGAGGTTTGGCAGTCGGAAGGTACTGACTTGAGCAGGAGAGGAAATAGGAATTTTGACATGTTTGGGAACACGTCACCGGATTACTTGCCCTTTGAGTTCAGGGCTCTTGAAGTTGCTCTGGAGTCTGCTTGTACATTTCTGGATTCTCAGGTGCGTACATGAAAAATTCACTTCGTTGTAGGCTAAACACGCATCTACCAAATTGTTTGTGCCGTGTCAATTTCTGAAGTGATTGTTGCTTGCTGCGGATAAACTAATCCTATCGAATGATAAACATAAAGCAAAAATGTGCAGAGACGGGGTCACACTTGCTTTGGGTGCAAATTTTTTTTATACCTTTTTCCAATATAATATTAAATTTTCCATTTCAAAAAAGTTTGAATGCACTTTGATCCGCTTTACCGTCTCACATGTATATTAAATCTTGAAACTCATGATCAACAGATCAAGTGACTTAACTAATATTTAGTTCGTTGAATCTCATTATCATGTTTTCGAGAAATCAACCCATAACTTTCTATGCTCTCTCTCACTCTCTGCATATATCGCCCCCTCTTTCTCATCGTTGTCAATTTGAAAATATTGTGAAGATATAATTAATGGAATTGAAATTGAAATTATATGCAATACTTTCAAAATATTGAAAACTTGTCGAGAACCATTGTAAATGTATTGATTAGAAGTATTACCAATCAATATTTCAGATGTCGCTGGTAACCTCTATTTGGGTAATTTTTTAATTAAAAAAATAATTTTGTTGTAAAAGTAAAAATACATTTGATCACAATACTATAGAGTAAATTATATGAATTGTAGTATAGGACCAATATTTTTACATTTAGGCATATGTATACCACTGTACAAGTGACTAAACTTAGAAGTAAATCTACAAACACAAAAGATACCTAAAAAGTAGGAAAGTACTTAAAAAATGTTACCAATTCTTATATAAGTTTATGTATTTGTTATTAATTCAAACAAGAATAGACGGATAGACTGAGAACAGAGGGAGGGATGGCATGAATTCTTTACTTACTACAAGAAGGAACGGCAGCTCGCCAACGCCAACACCAACACCTACTGCTCCTCCTAGTACAGCTACTACAGCTATGACTAAAAATTAAATTATTCCCTTTATGACCTAAAACTGATTTCAGCATGTTAAGCTAGCCCTTTTACATTATTATTGTTAAAATTTGCCCTTACTAAGGTAATTTTCTAACTCCCCCTGGTTACCTAAATGTCAGATTCCAATAGCTTTATTAATTAGGCTGTCCAACTTTCAGAAGGTAGTATTATATATAGAGAATCTGTCTGCTTTCTTTCTTTCTCTCTCTCTCTTTTGAATATTTGCATTTGATTATGAAGATATCATATCATGTTTGCTTATTGCATCTTCTCTGGTGAAGTTGATTAGCAATTTGTTGATTTTGAAATTCCATTAATCAGGCGGCAGAATTAGAAATTGAAGCATATCCATTGCTAGATGAACTTACATCAAAGATCAGCACTTTAAACTTGGAACGTGTTCGTCGATTGAAAAGCAGACTTGTCGCATTGACACGGAGAGTTCAAAAGGTGCTGCTGTATTTCCATACTTGTTTCACTAATTTAAGCAAGCACAAGTGCCCCTACTTCGATATTTTTCTTTATTTTGAGCTTTATTTGCATAGGTTAGGGACGAGATAGAGCAGCTAATGGATGATGATGGAGATATGGCTGAAATGTATCTCACTGAGAAGAAAAGTCGGATGGAGACATCACTCAGTGGTGATCAATCTTTGATTGGATACAGATCAATTGATGGTGCACTCTCTGTTTCTGCTCCAGTTTCCCCTGTATCTTCACCCCCTGATGGCCGGAAGCTTGAGAAAAGTTTGAGCATTGCTCGGAGCAGGCATGATAGCATGAGAAGTGTGGAAAGTGCTACAGAAAATATAGAAGAGCTTGAGATGCTGTTGGAAGCTTACTTTGTTGTCATTGACAACACCCTTAACAAGCTGACATCGGTATGTTGTGTATTTATTATAGAATTTCTATGCCCTGTTGGTTGGGGGATGGACATGGTGTATTAATCAGTTTCGTTCCCATGTTTCAGCTAAAAGAGTACATTGACGACACAGAAGACTTCATCAACATCCAGCTGGTATGGTCTTTTTTTTTTTTTTTTAACTAGCATAAACCCTTTTGAATTAATTTCAGGTACAAGATCCACTTAAACATTAATGACCTTAATTCAGGTGTTATTCATTAATCTTAACATCCTTCCGCTTATGCATGTCTCATAGGTTGTCTTCTTTGAAAACTGAAAATGGGTCTGTTAAGAATTCAAAGATCATCATGCTGCTGTATTTTTAGCTACGTCATGTTAGGAGGTGTGCTTATTTGTGAGAGAGAGAGAGAGGGGGGGGGGGGGACAATTTCTCAAGCTACACATTATAGAGCAAATATGACACCTCCATGGTTGTTAGTATCTTATGGCACACGATATACGTTTTGATATTGGAGTAAAATGATACATTTAGCATAAGTGTATCATTTTTCAACGTATCATACACGATATGTTTCATTATGGTACACTTAATGTGAATCAATTTAATATTTTATGTAATTTATGTTGTCTCTATGTGGGGCCTAGAAATATTTTTTCAAATAAGAAAATCAAAGGAAAGCAATTAGGTGAAAAAAATAATGAAGAGGATGAAGGCATACAAAAGGTTGAAAAAGACAATGGAAGTAGAGACTTATTGGCATCCAATGATGAAGATATTAGTGTCATTGAAACGGAAGATCAAGATGAATATTTGATACATAAGACTTTAAGAATAGGATGTCTTGAATTTACTAATCTTTAAACTTTGACATTAATGAATTATGTTTTAACCTTGAAATGTTAAATTTTGTTTTGGAACTTGGAGTCTTTTTTTAGTTCTGTATGGTATTCTTATTTTGGAAAAATGTTTAAAAAGTATTAAGTATATCTTATGACCATGATACAATTTTTAAAAAAAAATTACGATACACATTTTGACAGTCTTGCACACCACGCATTAAAATAAAACAAAAGAAGAGAGAAATAAAGGCAACAAGAAGATATTGCACCATGATCTTCCTTGCATATTCTTGAAACACCTGNTTTTAAAAAATTACGATACACATTTTGACAGTCTTGCACACCACGCATTAAAATAAAACAAAAGAAGAGAGAAATAAAGAAGGCAACAAGAAGATATTGCACCATGATCTTCCTTGCATATTCTTGAAACACCTGTTCTGATAGTTCATTGAAATTTTGGCTTGCAGGATAATGTCCGAAACCAGCTTATACAATTTGAATTGATACTCACAACTGCGACGTTTGTTGTTGCCATATTTGGGGTTGTAGCTGGGATATTTGGCATGAATTTTCAAATACCATTTTTTGATGACCCAAGTGCATTCAAATGGGTCCTAATAATCACAGGAGTGGCTGGGGCTGTTATATTTTGTTCATTTTTGTGGTTTTTCAAATATAGAAGACTGATGCCACTGTAGATGTTGAAGAAAAGAGGAAGCAATGCTGCTATGGATGCTGAAGGAAATTGCAAGAAACGAAGCCTGGGAATACAGGAGTCATTGTAAAACATCATCTATTTATTGGCTTCTAATACAAAAAAGGAAAATGAGGAAATTTAAGAAGGCAGCTTTCAGATCTATTCTTTCAATGTAATTTAGTCTATTTTTATGTATAAATTCACTGGTTTTTGAATTTCTGCATATTGTAGCAATTTGCATATTTGTATTATTTTGGAAACTTCTGGAACTTTTTCAACGATGGGACTTGACTTTGGCTGCAAGCAAGGCTCATTGGCCTGGATCTCGCACAGCCTTGCAACCGTTATCACCTTACTGCAACAGAGTAGAATAACACAGCCTTGCTTAGTTTGGAGCATTTGTGTAACCTTTTTTATCCCTGTCCCTTTTATCTTTTTTGGCCAATAGTTTAGTCTAGAATAGTTATCAAGGATTACTATGATACCAAAACTTTTAATAAGGTATCAAAAATTATATTTCAATCAAACCAAGCTACAACTCGAACAAGGCAAGTGACAACTCATTGAGAGAGTATGAAAGAGCCAAAAAGAAAATTTTACCTTTCCCCTAAAAATGGAGGGGAACTGGTAAATGACTATCAAAGGCAATGTCTTCCCGCTTTTGGCATTGATGATCTCAAGAACCAACTACTCATCACACCTAACTAAAAATTTGTAGTTCAGTTTTGGAGGTAGCTTGAACAAGGGGGTGGCATTCATGCTCATATTGAAGACCCTTCTGATTATGCCAAAAGGCCACAACAGTCAGTAGTGCTATACTCATATTTACACAGAGCAATACAAAATGTTTATGCGAAGTCTTGCAGCCAGATACCCCCAAAAAGGCATTTCACACCATTGCAATTTTATTGAGATTAACAAACAAAGCTCAAGAACTAACAAGGAGAGAAGTTCTAATGTCAAATGATTTAGAACATTTGAGCAAAAGGGATGTCTTTGCTGGACTGACTAAGATTCGAGTAATAGAAAAGAAAATGCCAACTTCCTAATATATAAGAATGCCTGGATTTTTTTACTAAGCAATGCTTTTTGTACCTTGATGAGAAAACGAAGAACAAAAGATCACCCCTGTTGGGGCTCTGGTAACAAGTCACTATGGATCAACAGAGAAAAATAACATGCCCGAAACTTCATATGGTGATTGGAGAAACCCAATCAGAAAGCTTCATTAATCATTTTGCGGAAGATGAACTTGAAGAAAGTCTTGCACTCCGTGCTTTATCAGCTTTTTCCAAATAATCTTGATGGGATTGATGCCTCGTTCCTTCAATTAAATAGAAATGCATTACTTTTGAGCTTGAAGATACTTAGACAACAAGTGCCCGAAGCAACACACAAAACAGTTTTAGAAACCTTAAGAAATGCAAGAGCCAGGGTGCGTAGGATATTTACAAGGAGATATGCACAACTAGAAATTTCAAGCACATGGAACCACAAACTCCACAAAGGGAAGCCCATCTAAACCCTTTGGGAGTTGGCGTGACATAAAATTGACAACAAAATGTCCTTCGATTGATTTTTTTTCCTTCTTCGAATTAACCAAAATATTAGGAACTTTCTGGAATGCAAAACAGGAACAGGAACACAGTATGCCACGTACTTTTAAAAATGGTAAGATGGGCAAATGTATCCAACATGTAGAAAATGTGTTGAGATATTCCAAAGTATAAAAGGTTTTCTCAGGAACAGGAACAGGAACACAGTATGCCATGTACTTTAAAAAATGGTAAGATGGGCAAATGTATCCAACGTGTAGAAAATGAGTTGAGGTATTCCAAAGTATAAAACGTTTTCTTTTCAACGATAGATGACGAATCACAAGAATTATAACTATGACGAATGGGCTCTCCATTTACTTAGACAATTTGTCGTATTGAAATTACTCATGTTGAAACTTCTGGATTGCAAAATTCAGTTCAGCATTCTGAAATGGAAGTGCACAAGATTACGGGGTGTTCCTGCTAAGGTATTAGTGTTTTCTGGTGACTACACTTTGATCTTTGAAAATATGGAACACCGTATTGTTTTAAAAGAAATACTCTCTTGCTCCCGTTCATAGGCTCCTTTGGAATGGTGGATCTGAAAGGATTNATCGTATTGTTTTAAAAGAAATACGCTCTTGCTCCCGTTCATAGGCTCCTTTGGAATGGTGGATCTGAAAGGATTAGATAGACATGCAGACTGATTAACATTTGGGAGGGCGAAGAGATATCAAAAGTTGTCNACCGTATTGTTTTAAAAGAAATACTCTCTTGCTCCCGTTCATAGGCTCCTTTGGAATGGTGGATCTGAAAGGATTGGATAGACATGCAGACTGATTAACATTTGGGAGGGCGAAGAGATATCAAAAGTTGTCAGGCTCGAGAGTAGACTCCCACAACCAAGGACGAAGCAAGGATTTTATTTTTTAGAGGGCCAAATTTTATGAACCAAAACAAACAAAAATTCGAATTGCACACTTAGAGGAAAACAGTAACTATGGTACTCATTCAAACAGATTGAAGGAAAAACTATTCAACTCAAAAGTATCAAATCAATTGTTGTTTACTGAAATATGACACAAAATTTTTTTTAAAATACTAAATAAAATCAGAATTTTTTTAGTAGTAAAAATCAGAAATACTAACCCATCAATCTATGGATAAAAAAGCAAGAGCTGATTAATTTATTCTGGCTTGATCCACCAATTTTGCTCTTGGGTAAAAAATGGAGGTGGGATTTTCTAATTTTTTAAGGGGTTAAAACTTTTTTCAACTGTAGACAGTAAAAAAACAATGAGAACTTGGATGAACTTGAAATGTATGATTATTTTAGTAACTTTCCATTGAAATGTATTATTATTTCTATTTACCATGGTCATGTGTTAAGGGAAGAATTGGTTGTTGATGGCTATTACATAATAGGGATGAAAGAATAGAAGAATATTTTATTGTGTTGGGGTCAAGTCTATTAACTGTTTCACACATGATTCCTATCTATAGAGTACGTGTATATGGGATCAAGTCTTTACACTACTAAAACTCTCAGCCGGTAGACTCAGTACCTAACATACATACCTACAGATTATAAAAAATACAGGGGGACCATGGCCCCCTCAGGCCATCCCTACACTCCATCACTACCCGCAACTACTAGAATCGTTCATGAAACCTTAGCAATCCGAGTGTCTAGCTGAACTCTCAATTTTTAAGGTGTGAAATCCTTAAGCAATAGACTTGAGGGTCAAATCAAATTAAAATCCACACCATTCCAAATCCATCTATCCAAAATGACACAAAATTCTATTATGCTCGTGCATTAATCCAAGCATTGCACAGTCTTTCATCATTGTTAAAAGGGAAATTGTTGTGTGCCGATATACAAAAGTACAAACAATGAACAAGTCATTGTTTCACCTCACAAAGCTATGTCCCTGACTTGAATCAATTTCATTGTTACTAAGCTACAACCCATCTCCACTCCCATCGCTACAGTTTCTCATAATCTGATGCAACACACAGATATAGTGCTTATCCTGATGCTTTTCAATATATTACAAGATAGAAAAACCTAATTCTACTCTCAAATCTCGCCAAATCATAAAAACTTGTTGAAATTCCTACAATCACTTAATCTTAAGGACCATTACAATAACTTAGGTTGGATTTCCAAAAAAAAAAAACAAATGATAAGAAAAGCAATGAAATGAAATTCCCAATTACATTTTCCAGCTATAATATCACTAAATGAAACTAAAGACGCCAAATTTCTGTATTTTGTTTCTTTTCCGGCTTTTTTATGCAACCAAATAGAAAATCATACAAGGAGTAATAGTAATAAATAGAAAAGGATTCGTACCTCGGTTCATGAGGTACCAGGGGACGCCAAAGATGACGGCGATGACTGCCATACCAGCCATGACGTGCTTCTTCTCGCCACTGTAGATGTAGTGTTCCATTTTTGCCCTAAAACCTCCTCCAGCACCTCCTACTCCGTTGGCTCCATTGGCCTCTGTTCCGCTCCCCATTTTCCTTCCTTATCAGACAGCTTAAACCTTCTGCTGTCTCTTCTTCAGTTTCTCTCTCTCTTCTTGTTCTTGAACTAAAACCCTAGTCCTTAGTTTTTTCTTCGCTTTGTTTTATTTTTTAATTTTTTTAATTTTTAGATTGATTTCATTTTATTTTATTTTCACCCAGAATAATGACTTTCATGTCAAATTTGAATATTATCCAAATTTTAATCGAATTGAGATTTTGTTCAAAAAACCATAATAAAACCCACTAAACTTTATAGTATTGAGATTTGTACAACTTAAAAATAAGTTCAAAAATTAAATATTATAAAAATAAAAATGTTTAAAAAAATATGTAATAAAATTAAGAGATATATAATTAAAAATAAATATACTCATAAAAAGGTAAAAGTAACGGAGACAATTTAAGAAAGAATCAATTAGATAATTTTAAAATAAGTATAGACAACTTGCTACAATTAGAGGTGGTAATCTTAACCCATTATTCATTAATTCACCCAACTCATCTATAAATAAATGGGTTAGATATTTATAGTAATTAATATGAGTTCTAAATGAATTGGGTAATATGATTTATTTTAATTAAGCGGATTAATATGGATTATAAATGGATATCTATTGGGTTCGTTTGTTTAGAGGGAAAATGTTAGAAAATACAAGAAAGATAAATTTTTTAAAATTTTCATGTGTTTGATTAGCATAAAAAAAAATTATAGAAAAAATAATTTTCTTTCATTCTTGAATTTTCTCACAAATAACTAACTTTTTTTCTTATAAAAAAATACAAGAAAATTGTGATCTATAACTAGAAAAATAATTTATTGGTTATTAATTTTTAAAAATTTTGGTATGAATTTGATTAATCATATAATTTAACCCAACGACCTTTATGTTGGTGATTGTCTTAGAATTACGTTTCAAGCTACTATTTTAAAATTTGTTAACTTTCAATTATAATTACATATTTTTTACTTTTTTAGACCAATTTAATATAATTAAGAGTAATTTAGACAATTATAAAAAAAATCTTATAACTTTACTTTATTTCAAACAATAGAATGAAATTTTTTTAAAACATTCTCATAAATTTTTCATTCTAAACAAATACATGTATGAAAATATTTTTTTTATTATTTTCTTTTTTGTCACTTCATTTTCTATCATTTTCACTTTTCATCATTTTTTTCTTCCTAACCAAACGGACCACTGGGTTAAGTATTTATCTTTTTTATTAAATAGCACAAGTANTTTATTTTCTTTTTTGTCACTTCATTTTCTATCATTTTCACTTTTCATCATTTTTTTCTTCTTAACCAAACGGACCACTGGGTTAAGTATTTATCTTTTTTATTAAATAGCACAAGTAATAAAATTAAATAAATATATTAATATACCAAAAAATACGCACTATTACACCAATACACTAAAATATATACATACTAGTACACAAAAAACACACACTTTTACATGACCTATGACCCCATTACCCATGGGCCATAAACTGTGACCCATGGTTTGACCCATGACCCACAACAAACTCATAGCCCACAGTTGATCTCGATCCATTATGTGTGTATTTTTTTTTATTAAATGTATTTTAGTTTTTGTGTTAATATATGTGTGTGTATTTTTGGTGTAATAGTGTATATATCTTAAATGTACTNTACCCATGGGCCATAAACTGTGACCCATGGTTTGACCCATGACCCACAACAAACTCATAGCCCACAGTTGATCCCGATCCATTATGTGTGTATTTTTTTTTATTAAATGTATTTTAGTTTTTGTGTTAATATATGTGTGTGTATTTTTGGTGTAATAGTGTATATATCTTAAATGTACTGGTTTGTATTTGTTTTGGTGTATTTGTGTGCGTGTGTGTATATTTGTATTTTAGTGTACTATGAATGTATGTATGTGTTTTGGTGTACTAATGTGTCTATTAAGAATTTTAATTATTTTATGAGTTAATCGATTTAAGCCAACCGATTATAAANAATGTATATATCTTAAATGTACTAATTTGTATTTGTTTTGGTGTATTTGTGTGCGTGTGTGTATATTTGTATTTTGGTGTACTATTAATGTATGTATGTGTTTTGGTGTACTAATGTGTCTATTAAGAATTTTAATTATTTTATGAGTTAATCGATTTAAGCCAACCGATTATAAACTCAACCCATTATAACCCATTTTATTACGTGAGTGAAAAATGTATTGAATTTATTTTAACTCAATTAAATTTAACCCAACCTAGAACCAACTCAATCCACTCATTTGCCACCTTTAGCTATGACCATCAGTGACAAAGAGTGATACCATAATTATTGACGACAAGAGTAAGGGTAGAAAAATAGTAAAATTGACTTTAAAAANCTCATTATAACCCAATTTACTACGTGAGTGAAAAATGTATTGAATTTATTTTAACTCAATTAAATTTATCCCAACCTAGAACCAACTCAATCCACTCATTTGCCACCTTTAGCTATGACCATCAGTGACAAAGAGTGATACCATAATTATTGACGACAAGAGTAAGGGTAGAAAAATAGTAAAATTGACTTTAAAAAAATATATGATAATTTATGATTTAACATAGAATGTGCTTGTTATTAGAGATTAATTATAAAATAAGGTTCATGTAGCGTTCAGAAATATTGGGGCAATCCCAATGACTAACTTAAGTAGTAATAGAGATGAATTGTAAAGTCAGACGTCCTAAATATGAATATTAATAACTCTTTGGGATTANTTATGTAGCATTCAGAAATATTGGGGCAATCCCAATGACTAACTTAAGTAGTAATAGGGATGAATTGTAAAGTCAGACGTCCTAAATATGAATATTAATAACTCTTTGGGATTAGGTCACGAGTGATTTATCTCTCATGAGTATCTTAATCTCAACGTAGATGATTTGTCTTTGATCAAACTGAAAAAGAAATTAGTCCAAATATATATAAACTAATCCAAACATATGTAGCTGTTAAACAAAAATAAAATAAAATATTAACAAGGTTGAGTTGACTTCACAACAACCCAGATATTAATTATTAAAAACCCCTTTTGAAGCACTAGCTATTTATGAAAAAAAAAAAAAAANATTAGTTCAAATATGTATAAACTAATCTAAACATACGTAGCTGTTAAACAAAAATAAAACAAAATATTAACAAGGTTGAGTTGACTTCACAACAACCCAAATATTAATTATTAAAAACCCCTTTTGAAGCACTAGCTATTTATGAAAAAAAAAAAAGCACTAGCTATTTGGTTTGGTTAAGGGTTTACCAAAGAAGATAAAATACCCACCAACTCCCAAGCAAAATGTAGTCACCTCCTCCTGGCTTTACAAACCATGAAACCATTCTTCCCAACTGATGGCATTGCTCACCCTCGCAAGGAGGCTCCAACAAACACATTCTCAGCTTTTCCTCCGCTCCATTCTAAGCTCAGTCGTTCACCAACCCATTACACCTTCGTCGTCCTTCCAAAGTCTAGCACTTTGTTTCATTCAGCCATTTTATCAAACACGTACCAGTCCCTTTCACATCATCCCACACAACCACAATTTCTCCACACTCCCACCCTCTCACAACAAGAACATCTATAAGATAATCAATTTTAGTCAATATATAGACGAAACCCGTGAACGGAACCAAACAGGTGTTCTTGAATTCGTTGAATTACTCAAAGGAAATGCTTCGAATGTTCCTTCAAAAGGAGAAGAAGCCGTGGCTTTTCTTGACAATTTGGGTGTCAAACCCAATAAAAGTTTGGTTTACTCTGCAATATGGGTTTTGAGAGACGAATGGAAGNCCAATGTTCCTTCAAAAGGAGAAGAAGCCGTGGCTTTTCTTGACAATTTGGGTGTCGAACCCAATAAAAGTTTGGTTTACTCTGCAATATGGGTTTTGAGAGACGAATGGAAGCTGGCATTTTTGGTATACAAATGGGGTGAGAAATGGGGTTGTAATGTTGAGAAAACTTGGTGTTTGATGATATGGGTATTGGGTAACCATAAAAAGTTCAATACTGCTTGGTGTTTAATTCGGGACTTGCACTTGGCTTCAACGGATACTCAGCAAGCAATGCTCATAATGATTGATAGGTAAGATTGAGCATCGCTCATGACTCCATTGCTATTTTCTGGTTGATATTGTGATTTATTGAAATTGAGGCTGCCTTCATGGCATCTCAAAGGATAGTGTGGTGTGACTGGTTTTATGACAACCAATCTAATACGTAATTCTACATTTCAAGCTTTAAGAGTTAGAGTCAAAAGAAAGAAAAAAAGAAGCAGCAGCTTTAAGAGTTAAAAGTTGATTCCTTTTTCGTTTTGTTTTTTTTCNAGGATAGTGTGGTGTGACTGGTTTTATGACAACCAATCTAATACGTAATTCTATATTTCAAGCTTTAAGAGTTAGAGTCAAAAGAAAGAAAAAAAGAAGCAGCAGCTTTAAGAGTTAAAAGTTGATTCCTTTTTCGTTTTGTTTTTTTTCGCTCTGTTGAACTGCATAATAGGGCTAACTGAATATGTTTGTCTTCATATGTATTCCTTGCATGTGCCTCTCTCTCGCAATATTGTTTTAGTTATTGATTAATTGTTCTGGATAATTGTTGTATTAATCATTCTAGNTTCGCTCTGTTGAACTGCATAATAGGGCTAACTGAATATGTTTGTCTTCATATGTATTCCTTACATGTGCCTTTCTCTCTCAGTATTGTTTTAGTTATTGATTAATTGTTCTGGATAATTGTTGTATTAATCATTCTAGGAAAATGGAAATACATGATTCAGTCTCAAACTTGAGAATGGCTTGTTTTTTTAGCAGTTCTAGTTTCTGCTTTTGAGCGTCAATATTGGCCAGAGTATTTCTTTTAAACTTAATACTTTATTGATTTGCTTTGTGTTTTTGATTTGACATAGAAATGCCTTTGCAATGCTGTCCGCTGGCTAATGTAGTTCTAAATTTGTGGATTTTCTCATATTTACCAATATCAATTGTTCAAATCATGGTTTTTTGCTTTGTTTATCATATTGTGTTTGGATAGATATGCAGCTGCAAATGATCCAGGCAAAGCGATTCAAGCATTCCAGACAATGGAGAAGTTTAGATTGTCGCCTGATCAGAAAGCATTCTACACACTTTTGAATATTCTTTGTAAACATGGCAACATTGAAGAGGCTGAAGAATTTATGCTTCTGAATAAGAAGCTATTCCCGTGGGAAACTGAGGGATTTAACATAATTCTGAATGGATGGTGTAATATATCTGTGGATGTATTCGAAGCCAAGAGAATTTGGAGAGAAATGTCAAAATGCTGTATTATGCCAAATGCAACTTCTTATGCATACATGATTTCATGCTTCTCAAAAGTCGGGAATCTGTTTGACTCTCTCAGGCTGTATGATGAAATGAAGAAAAGAGGTTGGGTCCCCGGCCAGGAGGTTTACAACTCTTTGACATATATACTGACTCGTGACAACTGCCTAGAGGAGGCTCTCAAAACTGTGGACAGAATGAAAGAAACCGGTCTTCAACCTGATTCTGTCACATACAACTCCATAATACGCCCCCTTTGTGAAGCATCAAAGTTAAAGGAAGCAAGAACTATATTGGCCACAATGATAGGAGAAAATGTTAGCCCAACCATTGAGACATACCATGCATTTCTTGAGGATGCAAGTTTCGAAGGAACTTTAGAAGTTCTTAACCATATGAAGAAAGCTGGACTTGGTCCAAGCAGGGATACCTTTCTTCTAATCCTTGGTAAGTTCCTCAAATTGGAGCAACCTGAACATGCATTGAGGATTTGGGTGGAAATGAAGCAATATGAAGTAGTGCCCGATTCTGCACATTTTGCTGCACTGGTGGAGGGCCTAGCAATGTGTGGGTTGTTGATCAAGGCTAGACAATTCTATGCTGAGATGAGATCATATGGAATTCCAAACGATCCAAAGCTCAAGAAGCTCTTAAAGGAGGAATCATTACAAGGGCTTCGTCACCAAAGAGAAAAACAGGGGCGGATGAGAATTGTGAGACACATCACGAAAGGTATCTCAGTATGTCATGAAAAAAGCAAAGGGATTAGAGATACCATAGGTGTTAAGCGGTCAAGAAATAAGACAAGCGGAACTTAGAACTCTTGACTGGATATTTAAAAGCTCGAAAGATCACCTGTTGCCAGCTTGGAATTGCCACTACTGCTTATACCATGATAATGAAAGCATTGGGATAGCCTTTGAAGGGACTACAAAAAGGTGTTGTGCATAAAACCTTGTGGCTACCAGCAACATCAGTCGGATCATATCTGGAGCAAGAAGTTACGACCATGCCGATGCTTCAGTGTAGTGTCCTGGGGATTCCACAGTGCTAATACAAGGAACCAATCAACTCACAGACCAAGGCTGAGAAAAGGGTTTATTTAGCTGCTGTAACTGATGTGATGTACTTATAGTTATTTGTGGGGGATGATTCAAAGCCAATGGATGCCTTGATGAATCTAGTTTATTGTTCCTAGGTTGCCAAATGCAGGCACATAAGCTATTTCAGGTAGTTTCTATGTAAAAGAATAAATTTCAGTTCTTGCTGAACTTGTGTATCATCTTTTTCTGAATGAACTTCTTATCTACAGATTTTTTGAATTTGTATTGATAAAGAACATCACCTTGAATTTGGCAAAGTTGTTTTTGAACTATATTGTGTGTCAAACTTTTGTTCTGTTAGGGCAGACTGTAGGTACTATACTGATATTTTGTTTTATGCATCCCTTTTTCGGTCATAAAGGCCAGATTTATATGAATATCATTTCAAACTTATCCAGACTCTATTAATAAAGGTCCCCTTTAGCATAAACTGTTTAAGTGGTATGCTAGTAAGACAGTTACCCTTAACAACGGCTTGCAATGTCTTTTATGTATCCTATATGCTATCTAATTGGGTTTAATTTGCTTAAATCCTAAAAAAATCCAAAAGAAAGAGAGACCCATACCTGCTTTTTGGTTCATCTTATTTCATTGCCCTACCACCACCAAAATCTAGCTGCTTTATGGCATTCCCACCTTTACTATTTCAACTACTTGGCAACACAACAGTATCTAAAAAGGTATAATACCAAAAGTTGTATAAAAATCAGAATTTGTTACAATTAATAATTTGGATTAAAATATGACTTAAATGGAGTTAAGTTACNGGGTCAGTTTTTGAAAGTGGCAAAGATGTTTTTGAACTATATTGTGTGTCAAACTTTTGTTCTGTTAGGGCAGACTGTAGGTACTATACTGATATTTTGTTTTATGCATCCCTTTTTTGGTCATAAAGGCCAGATTTATATGAATATCATTTCAAACTTATCCAGACTCTATTAATAAAGGTCCCCTTTAGCATAAACTGTTTAAGTGGTATGCTAGTAAGACAGTTACCCTTAACAACGGCTTGCAATGTCTTTTATGTATCCTATATGCTATCTAATTGGGTTTAATTTGCTTAAATCCTAAAAAAATCCAAAAGAAAGAGAGACCCATACCTGCTTTTTGGTTCATCTTATTTCATTGCCCTACCACCACCAAAATCTAGCTGCTTTATGGCATTCCCACCTTTACTATTTCAACTACTTGGCAACACAACAGTATCTAAAAAGGTATAATACCAAAAGTTGTATAAAAATCAGAATTTGTTACAATTAATAATTTGGATTAAAATATGACTTAAATGGAGTTAAGTTACAATAAAAAAAAAGAAAAANTAATACCAAAAGTTGTATAAAAATCAGAATTTGTTACAATTAATAATTTGGATTAAAATATGACTTAAATGGAGTTAAGTTACAATAAAAAAAAAGAAAAAGAAAAAGAAAAAGAGAGAGAGTTATATCATTAATTTTAAACAACCCATTTNATTCCCACCTTTACTATTTCAACTACTTGGCAACACAACAGTATCTAAAAAGGTATCATACCAAAAGTTGTATAAAAATCAGAATTTGTTACAATTAATAATTTGTATTAAAATATGACTTAAATGGAGTTAAGTTACAATAAAAAAAAAGAAAAAGAAAAAGAGAGAGAGTTATATCATTAATTTTAAACAACCCATTTTGTCTTAATTTCGATATAATCTGTAATCTTACCCTCTAATAGCTTTGAAAAGATAATTCAATACCTTTAGTATCATATTTATTGAGAATTAGAGATACAGCCGAAAGTACAATAGAAACGACTCTATCACCCAGCCATCTTTTTGAGGCAATCAACCCTCAAACTATTGATTTTTTTCCCCCTTTTGCTGTACATTCTTCAACGGCTATGTAAACTATTGATTGATGAGCCAATTTGCTTTTTATTTGGAAATTTGGAAGGAATGTATCCATAAGCTGAATTAACTATTCTTTGCGCATATGACATGATTTAGGCGCGACTTTTGATTTGAGACGCATGTGACTTCGTTCTTGCATCAATTCTCATGATTTTTTTAATCCTCTTTTATATTATTCAATAGTATGGTTATTACATGGGAGAATATTTTTAACTACTTATAACCACCCTCCTTCCATATATAACTATAACTCTTTTGTGTGAATATTTCTTTTGATTTTTTGTATATAAAATAGGTATAGAGATATGTCACTTCAAACAGATATCGAACAACATCGTCTCTTAGCACAAATAGCTATTTGTAGGAGTCTTTATCATACTTACATTGAGTTGAAACTAAGGTCTCAAATGTAGTATGGGTGTGGTGATGAAGTCTAAGGTCTCAAATATAGTATGAGTGTGGTGATGTAGTCTGTTCTTAAGGAACAATCATCCTTGTTTTTTAAGAGATATGTGCTTAAAATCAATTCAAGTTACAATAATCAACTCAAAGTTTGATAGAATAGTCAACACAAACCTAAATTGCCAATAAAAAAAAAATTGACATGTTATAGAATTTTCAAGAGACTAACTATTTTCCATTTGTTATTAAAATAAAGAGTCAAACCACAAATGAAAAATTTAGAGAGCCTCTTTGGCTAGCTTTTCCATTTAGTCGAAAGACTAGTTATTTTGCCAATCGACCTAGTGGCTCTTTATATTTAAAGAGATTCTTTGGCTAGTTAATTTATATTTGAAGAACTAAATCACTCTTTTTGTATTACAAGGGATTAATTATTTTATATTTTAATGATGGGTCAAGTTATGTAATATTTATAATTTAAAATATTAATAATAATTAGTTAAAAAAGAGAAGGTTGTTAGAATAATTTTATAAAAATGACTCTTTAAAATAAAAAATATAATATTTTAATATATTTTAATTAAATATTTTGAAGAGTAGCTATCGAGATGCTCTAACACTATGATCCGATATATAAACCCATGTTCTGGTCCCTTCCAAATACCTTGTCAAGTTTTGGTCAAAAAAGTGGTTGCTGATTCCTCACCATGTCCTCCAGCTCAGCCACCCACCTTATCATCTTCTTACTCTGCCTCCTCGTCGCCGCCGTCTCCGCCACCGACCACATCGTCGGAGCCAACAAGGGATGGAACCCGGGCGTTAACTACACTCTCTGGGCCAACAACCACACCTTCTACGTCGGGGATCTCATCTGTACATACCCAACTCAACTCTCTCTTTCTCTCTCCCTCTCTCTCTCTCTCTCCCTCTGATATTGCTCTTTTTTGACAGCGTTTAGGTACCAGAAGACACAGTATAATGTATTCGAAGTGAATCAGACTGGTTACGATAACTGTACTACCGAAGGAGCAGTGGGGAACTGGAGCAGTGGAAAAGACTTCATTCCCCTCAACAAGGCCAGGAGATACTACTTCATTTGTGGCAATGGTGGGTGCTTCAGTGGAATGAAGGTCTTAGTTGTTGTTCATCCTCTTCCGTCTCCGTCTAACGCCGCCGTCGCTGCTGATCATTCGTCGACGAAGTCCGCCGCCGCATCGGTGGTTGGTGGGGCTGCGATGGTGATGCCTCTGTTGGTAATGGCTTCGATCTGGTTTGGATCTGGGTGGATCTAGTTTGGTACTCTTGCTTGTTTATGGTTCTGCTAATGACGGTTAAATTCAGTTAAGTGTGTATTAGTGTTTCGATAAACTGTTTTAATTGAATTATCAATTTTTTTAGTATTTTCTGGTTTTCAGATTGTGAGGGTAACAATCAGTCTAATAGTCGTTGAACCTTAAAAGTTCGGTCCAAACATAATTTGAAATAGACGTTGTTATGATAGTTAAGGTGTAATATAAAAATAATAATTTTTTAAAATATAAAATGAAAATTAGGATATTTTTCAAGTTATAAAATACGAAAAATCGTAATTTGTATTAAAAAACTTTTCCATACCATAATCATAATTCAGTTTAAGCAGCATACAAAAGGAACAATAATTATCATCCATGCCATGGGACATACGGCCCCAACTGTCTTTTCCTACTTTAATTTTTTCGGAAGCTAGCCCTACACCAGTCTGTCACTTCTACATTATGGGAGCTATGAGATTTGAATTTTGAATCCTTTACGTTTCTTTTCTTTTTTTCCTAGAATCCTTTACCTAAAGAAAAACTTTCAGAATTTCATCTTGAGGATAGATCAAATAGTAACATAAATAAATTATAAATTTAGATATTTTTAGTTTGAATTTTAACAATTTTTTAAAATTCATTTGTGAGGAATTTTTTTTTCATGAATGTCCTAGTTTCAGCGTAAATAACTTTTTTTTTATCGGACCGGTGAGAAAATTAGTCGATATATTTGTAAATTCGCCTTAGGAGTCTTCGAATTTTCGATTATTCATAAATTTTGAACCTATCCTACCCTACTTTACCTTACCCAATTCTTTTGATTGGCTACCCAAAAGAATCTGATAGGTCAATGAAAGATTTTTTTGCTATTCTGTAAAAAATTAGGTAAAAATACAGAATATTTACAAAATTTTCGTATTTCTGTCGAACCCGACCCATAAATATGCAATCCATAAATATTAAAATCCAAAAATCTAAAAACTCTAATGTTTTATGGATGTTTATAACTTTCTTATATATGATGTATTGATATTTATAGATTTTTTATTGTATTTTATAATAATTGTTTATATATTATCGAATTTATTGTGTTTTTTTTAGTATTATTGGTTTATTGTGTTAGTGAATTGATATAGATTAGTTAATTAAATTGTTAAAATGATCCAAAAATTAATAACTAAAAAATATGTGTTCACCCAATTTCTTACCCCGATTATTTTGGACGAAATTCAGGTAAGAGTAATACACCTGATCATGTAGGTTACGTCAAAAAAAAATTCTTCCACAAAGTATTGTATAGAAAAATGAAAGACCATAATTTCTATGCGTAATGTAGGATGAACACCTTGACTGATCTGAACATCTCTAATTGTTAAATCCAAAAAAATAAAAAAAGAATTTTTAATCTTTCTTTTGTAGGGATGAAATTTTTGAACTAATCAATCAATCTATCTAACTTTTGGCCCACATTGATATTTTCTTTACCGATTGAGATCTAACTTTTGGCCCACATTGATATTTTCTTTACCGATTGAGATTTTCCTTGGGTTCAAAATACGACTAAATTATCTCACATATATCTGTTTGAGTAATATTACATGAATTTAAAAAATAAACTTAAAAATTAGATTTGATAATCTCAATTATTGATTTTACTGTGAATTCGAACATTTATTGAGACTCATTACCTATTCAATGATTAAGATTATCAAGTCTAATTTTGAAATCTATTTTTTAAATTCATGTAGCATTACTCTATTCGTTTTGTTCAACTTCTATTTATTATAATTTTGTGTGTGTGTGTGTGTGTTTGTTCAAAATATGCCTAAACTATCCATGTTCACCAACAATTCTCTATGTTTTCCTCCCATTTTAGCCCGACAAAAGTTGATATCCACAGACCCACACATATTAACTCATACTGATTTCTTGATTGCCCAAGATGAAAAAATAGGAAGGATTGTTGAGTCTCTCTTTGTGACCTTTCTTTCACGGTCTTTTCGCGGGGAATTTTTTTATTTTTTTAGTACGAGAGGTGATACTGGTTTGATTTAATTCAAAAAATTTGTAAAAGATTATAAAATCAGAACAAGTGTGCACATTATAAAAGGATCAACGACAAGCGAGTCACGTTCTGACATGGTAAGGTGAATACTTGCAAGGTCTTGCAGTTGGCATAAGCCGTAGTACCACGGAAGGCATCAAACATCTTGAAGGGATGAGACACATCCTCGTCACGGTAGAATGAATCATTGTCTAAGAAAGGGCAAGAATGACATCGTGGAAGTCTGAAAACAACCTTTGCGCCCTATCTTGAAAGTAAAGGTGCATGGCCGGGATATCGCAATTGGTAGGAGTGGAATTCCTAGCGAAAACTCCAGGAGTATCCTCGGAACAAGGTCCCTTCAAGAGAATCTATGACCCATTGGATGTGCACGGTGGTAAAGTCAATCATTCTTGTACTATTACCTAATTCTCCTAATAGACTAAGAGGAGTGGCCTCCGCTTTGGAACTTGACAATATGACCTTCTTCGTGGGAGAACTAGGCAAAGGACGGACGCATACGATTGTCAATACTAATGCCGAGCAATGTCTCAAAGATTTAGTCCGTTCGAACAGGCGTTCCACTATAATTCACTGCTTATTGGGTTGTGCTTAACTTGGATTTGGATGGACTCCTAGGGCATGTTTGTTTGTCGGATATATGAGGTATTAGGAAGTTGAATAGAGTAACATGGAGCCCACATATTATCTTGTTTGGTTAGTATTTTACGACTATTTTTTGAGTTATAATACTGACTCGGTTTGTACAATATTCTTTAACCCTTATACATGGTTTTAATAAATACCACCTATTAGGTGGTATTATTTGCTAGTATAAATTCACCAACAGTACAAGTAAGAAAAATGACACAAATGTCCTCTTTTGTAGAGTTCAAATATAAAAAAATTATTTTGAATTTTTTTCTTATATTATGTTTAAGTGCAAGGTATCACCGATTTTTTTTTAATTTTTTGAAAAAAATAATTATTTTGAATTTTTTTTCTTATATTATGTTTAAGTGTACGGTGTCACCATATTTTTTTTTTAATTTTTTTAAAAAATTATTTTGATTTTTTTTTTATTATGTTTAAGTGTACGATGTCACCGATTTTTTTTAAAAGTTATTTTGAATTTTTTTTATATCATATTTAAGCGTACAGTATCACTAATTTTTTTTTAAAAAAAATATTTTAAATTTTTTCCTTGTATTATTTTTAAGCGTACAGTGTCCTCGTTTTTTTTTAATTTTTTTTTTACGGTGTCACCGATTCATAGCATCAGATTCTTTATTTTTTACATAGATTTTTTACATTATTCAAATTTTTTTGGGTATAGATTGTCATGTCATGTATTATACTAAATATTGTGCAAAAGCGTTACACAAACGGAGTAATAGAATAGATGATGTAAAAAATAAAATTGTTTATTTATTATACAAGATATGATAAAATAGATGGTCGTTTGTGAGACCTACTATAATACCTATTGAACAAACAAACAAAGGAGAGGACTTAAATACTTTCTATTATCAATACTAATTTTTATTGGTATGAAAATGTAAGAAATATATTTCTTAATACCATGCATAGCAATACTCAAAACAAACATGCTCCTAAGGTACAAAAGGTTAGTGGTCTAGATCAACATGATGATGAGTATGTTAATCGGTGGCTAAAAGATTGAAACAATGTAAATATCTTTGAATGGGCACTTTGACAAAGGCCTCGAAGAGAGTTCCAAAAGGAATGGAGACCCATAGGTATGTGTGCTCTAGGGGCACTGCAGACATATCCTTCCCACTGTCATGCTTCCTAAATGATTAGTTGCGACTCTTCACCTCGGGTATCCCTTCTTGTCTCAGAGGATGTACCTCTTCTTCGATAGCAAGTCCAGGCTGCATCCAAAAAAAATCACATTTGCCAAATTAATGCTTGAGACACATGTCACGCATTAAAAAACCGTCAATATAACTGCAAGTGAGGCAATTACTGACAAACACATTTGTCACGGACAATGTTGACCTCTGTACAAAGATAGGAGCGGGTAGCCCATAGGGCAACCTTGCTTGCCTCAAGTACTTGTGTTATAAATACCTTCATCAATTGTCATTACAGTACACAAAAAAATTTAGTCTAACACAGACATTCTGGCTAGTGTGAAAACATCCACTACCTCTACCTACTAGATCAACCTTTTGCCACTAGTTGGTCCCGATAGTTAATAAGTAGCTCGCGTCCTCTCATCCCATCCGTTCATCCTTCTCAACCTTTCTAGTACATTGGTGTCATACATGTGTATCAATCTTTTTAACTCCCTACTTACAAATTTATATCATGTTCAACCACAATTTGCTCTAAAAGAAATACGTTAGGTAACATGAGTATTTATTTGACAAACATATAGAAGTTAGCACCATGAATAATTGAAATAAAATTGACTAGCACCTTTTTTTGATCTAGATCCTCTTTATTATATTNACGTTAGGTAACATGAGTATTTATTTGACAAACATATAGAAGTTAGCACCATGAATAATTGAAATAAAATTGACTAGCACCTTTTTTTGATCTAGATCCTCTNGAATATTTTTAACTACTTATAACCACCCTCCTTCCATATATAACTATAACTCTTTTTGTGTGAATATTTCTTTTGATTTTTTGTATATAAAATAGGTATATAGATATGTCACTTCAAACAGATATCAAACAACATCGTCTCTTAGCACAAATAGATATTTGTAGGAGTCTTTATCATACTTACATTGAGTTGAAACTAAGGTCTCAAATGTAATATGGGTGTGGTGATGAAGTCTAAGGTCTCAAATATAGTATTAGTGTGGTGATGTAGTCTGTTCTTAAGGAACAATCATCCTTGTTTTTTAAGAGATATGTGCTTAAAATCAATTCAAGTTACAATAATCAACTCAAAGTTTGATAGAATAGTCAGCACAAACCTAAATTGCCAATAAAAAAAAAATTGACATGCTAGAGAATTTTCAAGAGACTAACTATTTTTCATTTGTTATTAAAATAAAGAGTCAAACCACAAATGAAAAATTTAGAGAGCTTCTTTGGCTAGCTTTTCCATTTACTCGAAAGATTAGTTATTTTGCCAATCGACCTAGTGGCTCTTTATATTTAAAGAGATTCTTTGGCTAGTTATTTTATATTTGAAGAACCAAATCACTCTTTTTGTATTACAAGGGATTAATTATTTTATATTTTAATGATGTGTCAAGTTATTTAATATTTATAATTTAAAATATTAATAATAATTAGTTAAAAAAGAGAAGGTTGTTAGAATAATTTTATAAAAATGACTCTTTAAAATAAAAAATATAATATTTTAATATATTTTAATTAAATATTTTAAAGAGTAGCTATCGAGATGCTCTAACACTATGATCCGATATATAAACCCATGTTCTGGTCCCTTCCAAATACCTGTCAAGTTTTGGTCAAAAAAGTGGTTGCTGATTCCTCACCATGTCCTCCAGCTCAGCCACCCACCTTATCATCTTCTTACTCTGCCTCCTCGTCGCCGCCGTCTCCGCCACCGACCACATCGTCGGAGCCAACAAGGGATGGAACCCGGGCGTTAACTACACTCTCTGGGCCAACAACCACACCTTCTACGTCGGGGATCTCATCTGTACATACCCAACTCAACTCTCTCTCTCTCTCTCTCTCTCTCTCTCCCTCTGATATTGCTCTTTTTTGACAGCGTTTAGGTACCAGAAGACACAGTATAATGTATTCGAAGTGAATCAGACTGGTTACGATAACTGTACTACCGAAGGAGCAGTGGGGAACTGGAGCAGTGGAAAAGACTTCATTCCCCTCAACAAGGCCAGGAGATACTACTTCATTTGTGGCAATGGTGGGTGCTTCAGTGGAATGAAGGTCTTAGTTGTTGTTCATCCTCTTCCGTCTCCGTCTAACGCCGCCGTCGCTGCTGATCATTCGTCGACGAAGTCCGCCGCCGCATCGGTGGTTGGTGGGGCTGCGATGGTGATGCCTCTGTTGGTAATGGCTTCGATCTGGTTTGGATCTGGGTGGATCTAGTTTGGTACTCTTGCTTGTTTATGGTTCTGCTAATGACGGTTAAATTCAGTTAAGTGTGTATTAGTGTTTCGATAAACTGTTTTAATTGAATTATCAATTTTTTTAGTATTTTCTGGCTATTTTCTGAGTTTTCAGATTGTGAGGGTAACAATCAGTCTAATAGTCGTTGAACCTTAAAAGTTCGGTCCANGTCTATTTTCTGAATTTTTAGATTGTGAGGGTAACAATCAGTCTAATAGTCGTTGAACCTTAAAAGTTCGGTCCAAACATAATTTGAAATAGACGTTGTTATGATAGTTAAGGTGTAATATAAAAATAATAATTTTTNCAAACATAATTTGAAATAGACGTTGTTATGATAGTTAAGGTGTAATATAAAAATAATAATTTTTTAAAATATAAAATGAAAATTAGGATATTTTTCAAGTTATAAAATACGAAAAATCGTAATTTGTATTAAAAAACTTTTCCATACCATAATCATAATTCAGTTTAAGCAGCATACAAAAGGAACAATAATTATCATCCATGCCATGGGACATACGGCCCCAACTGTCTTTTCCTACTTTAATTTTTTCGGAAGCTAGCCCTACACAGTCTGTCACTTCTACATTATGGGAGCTATGAGATTTGAATTTTGAATCCTTTACGTTTCTTTTCTTTTTTTCCTAGAATCCTTTACCTAAAGAAAAACTTTCAGAATTTCATCTTGAGGATAGATCAAATAGTAACATAAATAAATTATAAATTTAGATATTTTTAGTTTGAATTTTAACAATTTTTTAAAATTCATTTGTGAGGAATTTTTTTTTCATGAATGTCCTAGTTTCAGCGTAAATAACTTTTTTTTTATCGGACCGGTGAGAAAATTAGTCGATATATTTGTAAATTCGCCTTAGGAGTCTTCGAATTTTCGATTATTCATAAATTTTGAACCTATCCTACCCTACTTTACCTTACCCAATTCTTTTGATTGGCTACCCAAAAGAATCTGATAGGTCAATGAAAGATTTTTTTGCTATTCTGTAAAAAATTAGGTAAAAATACAGAATATTTACAAAATTTTCGTATTTCTGTCGAACCCGACCCATAAATATGCAATCCATAAATATTAAAATCCAAAAATCTAAAAACTCTAATGTTTTATGGATGTTTATAACTTTCTTATATATGATGTATTGATATTTATAGATTTTTTATTGTATTTTATAATAATTGTTTATATATTATCGAATTTATTGTGTTTTTTTTAGTATTATTGGTTTATTGTGTTAGTGAATTGATATAGATTAGTTAATTAAATTGTTAAAATGATCCAAAAATTAATAACTAAAAAATATGTGTTCACCCAATTTCTTACCATGATTATTTTGGACGAAATTCAGGTAAGAGTAATACACCTGATCATGTAGGTTACGTCAAAAAAAAATTCTTCCGCAAAGTATTGTATAGAAAAATAAAATACCATAATTTCTATGCGTAATGTAGGATGAACACCCCTGATTGATCTGAACATCTCTAATTGTTAAACCCAAAAAAATAAAAATAAAAATTTGAATCTTTCTTTTGTAGGGATGAAATTTTTGAACTAATCAATCAATCTGTCTAACTTTTGGCCCACATTGATATTTTCTTTACTGATTGAGATTTTCCTTGAGTTCAAAATATGACTAAATTATCATACATATATCTGTTTGAGTAATGCTACATGAACTTAAAAAATAAATTTAAAAATTAGACTTGATAATCTCAATCATTGATTTTACTGTGAATCCTAACATTTATTGAGACTCATTACCTATTCAATGGTTAAGATTATTAAGTCTAATTTTGAAGTCTATTTTTTAAATTCATGTAGCATTACTCTATTCGTTTTGTTCAACTTCTATTTATTATAATTTTGTGTGTGTGTGTGTGTGTGTGTTTGTTCAAAATATGCTTAAACTATCCATGTTCACCAACAATTCTCTATGTTTTCCTCCCATTTTAGCCCGACAAAAGTTGATATCCACAGACCCACACATATTAACTCATACTGATTTCTTGATTCCCCAAGATGAAAAAATAGGAGGATTGTTGAGTCTCTCTTTGTGACCTTTCTTTCACGGTCTTTTCGCGGGGAATTTTTTTATTTTTTTAGTACTGGAGGTGATACTGGTTTGATTTAATTCAAAAAATTTGTAAAAGATTANTTTTTTTATTTTTTTAGTACTGGAGGTGATACTGGTTTGATTTAATTCAAAAAATTTGTAAAAGATTAATTATAAAAGGATCAACGACAAGCGAGTCACGTTCTGACATGGTAAGGTGAATACTTGCAAGGTCTTGCAGTTGGCATAAGCCGTAGTACCACGGAAGGCATCAAACATCTTGAAGGGATGAGACACATCCTCGTCACGGTAGAATGAATCATTGTCTAAGAAAGGGCAAGAATGACATCGTGGAAGTCCGAAAACAACCTTTGCGCCCTATCTTGAAAGTAAAGGCGCATGACCGGGATATCGCAATTGGTAGGAGTGGAATTCCTAGCGAAAACTCCAGGAGTATCCTCGGAACAAGGTCCCTTCAAGAGAATCTATGACCCATTGGATGTGCACGGTGGTAAAGTCAATCATTCTTGTACTATTACCTAATTCTCCTAATAGACTTAGAGGAGTGGCCTCCGCTTTGGAACTTGACAATATGACCTTCTTCGTGGGAGAACTAGGCAAAGGACGGATGCGTACGATTGTCAATACTAATGCCGAGCAATGTCTCAAAGATTTAGTCCGTTCGAACAGGCGTTCCACTATAGTTCACTGCTTATTGGGTTGTGCTTAACTTGAATTTGGATGGACTCCTAGGGCATGTTTGTTTGTTGGATATATGAGGTATTAGGAAGTTGAATAGAGTAACATGGAGCCCACATATTATCTTGTTTGGTTAGTATTTTACGACTATTTTTTGAGTTATAATACTGACTTGGTTTGTACAATATCCTTTAACTCTTATACATGGTTTTAATAAATACCACCTATTAGGTGGTATTATTTGCTAGTATAAATTCACCAACAGTACAAGTAAGAAAAATGACACAAATGTCCTCTTCTGTAGAGTTCAAATATAAAAAATTTATTTTGAATTTTTTTCTTATATTATGTTTAAGTGTAAGGTATCACCGATTTTTTTTTTAATTTTTTGAAAAAAATAATTATTTTGAATTTTTTTCTTATATTATGTTTAAGTGTACGGTGTCACCATTTTTTTTTAAATTTTTTTAAAAAATTATTTTGATTTTTTTTTTTGTATTATGTTTAAGTGTACGATGTCACCGATTTTTTTTTAAAAGTTATTTTGAATTTTTTTTATATTATATTTAAGCGTACAGTATCACTAATTTTTTTTAAAAAAAAAAATATTTTGAATTTTTTCCTTGTATTATTTTTAAGCGTACGGTGTCTTCGTTTTTTTTAAAATTTATTTTTTTTACGGTGTCACCGGTTCATAGCATCAGATTCTTTATTTTTTACATAGATTTTTTACATTATTCAAATTTTTTTGGGTATAGATTGTCATGTCATGTATTATACTAAATATTGTGCAAAAGCGTTATACAAACGGAGTAATAGAATAGATGATGTAAAAAATGAAATTGCTTATTTATTATACAAGATATGATAAAATAGATGGTCGTTTATGAGACCTACTATAATACCTATTGAACAAACAAACAAAGGAGAGGACTTGAATACTTTCTATTATCAATACTAATTTTTATTGGTATGAAAATGTAAGAAATATATTTCTTAATACCATGCATAGCAATACTCAAAACAAACATGCTCCTAAGGTACAAAGGGTTAGTGGTCTAGATCAACATGATGATGAGTATGTTAATAGGTGGCTAAAAGATTGAAACAATGTAAATATCTTTGAATGGGCACTTTGACAAAGGCCTCGAAGAGAGTTCCAAAAGGAATGGAGACCCATAGGTATGTGTGCTCTAGGGGCACTGCAGACATATGCTTCCCACTGTCACGCTTCCTAAATGATTAGTTGCGACTCTTCACCTCGGGTATCCCCTCTTGTCTCAGAGGATGTACCTCTTCTTCGATGGCAAGTCCAAGCTGCATTCAAAAAAAATGGGCANTATTTCTTAATACCATGCATAGCAATACTCAAAACAAACATGCTCCTAAGGTACAAAGGGTTAGTGGTCTAGATCAACATGATGATGAGTATGTTAATAGGTGGCTAAAAGATTGAAACAATGTAAATATCTTTGAATGGGCACTTTGACAAAGGCCTCGAAGAGAGTTCCAAAAGGAATGGAGACCCATAGGTATGTGTGCTCTAGGGGCACTGCAGACATATCCTTCCCACTGTCACGCTTCCTAAATGATTAGTTACGACTCTTCACCTCGGGTATCCCCTCTTGTCTCAGACGATGTACCTCTTCTTCGATGGCAAGTCCAGGCTGCATCCAAAAAAAATCACATTTGCCAAATTAATGCTTGAGACACATGTCACGCATTAAAAAACCGTCAATATAACTGCAAGTGAGGCAATTACTGGCAAACACATTTGTCACGGACAATGTTGACCTCTGTACAAAGATAGGAGCGGGTAGCCCATAGGGCAACCTTGCTTGCCCCAAGTACTTGTGTTATAAATACCTTCATCATTTGCCATTACAGTACACAAAAAAATTTAGTCTAAGACAGACATTCTGGCTAGTGTGAAAACATCCACTACCTCTACCTACTCGATCAACCTTTTGCCACTAGTTGGTCCTGATAGTTAATAAGTGGCTCGCGTCCTCTCATCCCATCCGTTCATCCTTCTCAACCTTTCTAGTACATTGGTGTCATACATGTGTATCAATCTTTTTAACTCCCTACTTACAAATTTATATCATGTTCAACCACAATTTGCTCTAAAAGAAATATGTTAGGTAACATGAGTATTTATTTGACAAACATATAGAAGTTAGAACCATGAATAATTGAAATAAAATTGAC